TTATTATGTTTGTGGTAAAGAATCGCAACCTTTCTATAGGGTATATGCAACCTTTGTTACATCTTTAACTGCAAAAAATGCAACTTTGTTTACAATCAAATGCAACTTTATTTTTATGACTTTTCTAATGCCAATACGACATCTATTTTCCTAGTCATGTAGACGTTACATATGTTTACTACATTGCTACAAATATTCACCACTACTAAAATTGCACCATAACAATAATAACATAAATATCTTATATAATTTTATGGTCTCCTTTGACATGTCTAAATTCAAAATAACAACCATAAATCAAAGTCAATACAAATTTGTCAATTATAATCACAATATATATATATATATATATATATATATATATATATATATATATATATATTAAAACCATCTAAGACGTGTACCAAACATAAACGATAAATCATATTAACAACTATCAATCTTCTGCAGGTTTTTGCTCCATAAACATCCACCTCATGGTTTCAAAGTTTTCTCGTTGGTTATTAATATCTATTCGCATAACTTCTAATCCGGCATTTCTTCATTGTCCTCTTGAATCTCTTTTCACATTTCAATCAACTGATTTATTTTAACTTCATTTACTTTAAATGATTTCATAAGTCCCGCCGGAATCATGTAGGATACGTCACCACCACCCACTTCCTTTTTTTTTAATTCATTAGTAACAGCTCTACTATAAGGTCGACGGTATCCATCATTCTTTGTTCTTCACAATCATATAACTATCCATGACATCACTTTCATCTTCTAGAGGTTTGTAGTTCTTAATTTGTTCCTTCAAGATTATTCAAAAATGAATAAAATAATAGTGCTGAAACTATACTGTTAAAAAGTTGTTTATATTGTAAAAAATGCATTACAATGTAGAAAAAATAGTATTTTATTGTATAAAAAGAAGCCACTTGATGTTCAAAAATCTACTATCAAAATGCTAGTTTTTAAAGTAATAAATAAATAAATATAAAAAAAACTACATTTTAGCATCTAAAAAACTGAATTTCAACATATAAAAAACTGCTTTTTAAAGTCTAAAAACTGAAATTTAATGTCTAGAAAGGTAGTTTACTATCAAAAGGAAAAAACTATTATGAAATTGAAATACAAACTTACAATTTTCTTTGTCGCGTCATCATATGTATCAACATATACATGCTCGTCAGTCCTTCGACGTGTACGCTCAAACATTTGACTTACAGTGGGGAATTCCTTATTCGGATCATCATTTTTCTGTACTCATGGTGACATAGGCATCAACAAGAAAGTATCAAAGTATGAGAAAATAAAAACGTAAATCACAAACAAAATGAAGACATTACCATGTCGTCACGAATTCTAGCAGAGTAAGATTAGAAGTTTGTGGTCTAAGGTTCTGGATGATAAATAATAAATTCAAAGGGTTGAAGGCACACTAAAATGTAAATGTTGGAGTAATTGTTGGGTATGTATGTTCACTTAATATGATGTATTATAAATTTAACATTGGATAGAAAAGTGTCATCTCCTTATTGTTTTAAAATAAATATGTTGCAACAGGCAAGAGGGCACATTTGGATCTGATCATCAAAATTTTGATGCATTAGTTAAATTATTAAGTTAGTAATTTATTATAATGTAGAAACAAAAGGTGACGAGTCCCACTAAAAAGTGGATGTTTATTTCTCATGCAAGGTATGAATGATAAATAATAGATTCAAAGGGTAGAATGCACACTAATATGAAAATGATGGACCGATACTAACTTCATATTTGGAGTTTTTTCACTAATTTTGACTTTTAAACAACCATGGATCGAAAGTTATGTGCTTTTATCTCAAAACTTTTAAAGGCTATATCTTTTGACTTGGAACTCGGATCGAGGTGACGGTTTTTTTTTAAGTTATGTATTTGTTCGAGATCTACGTCGTAGCAAACTTTTGACAAAAAAAATCGAAATTCAGCCACTAGGGCCTTCAGTTTGGGTTTTATTCACCAATTTTGACTTTTAAACAACCTTTGACCTATCATAACTTCTAATAGAAATTACAATTTGAGGTTTTTTAATTTTGAAGTTTTTATAGATATGAGTGTAACACACTAGGCTGGTAAAATTTTGAAATGCCCTTTTACCTTGTTTATGAATGTATTTAATCCGTTTATTCAAATCAATATCAAAACAATTAAAGTAGATCAATTGGTAACTATAATTTTAAGAGTACTAATTAGCTTAGAGATCCCAATTTCAAGCCTTTGCCTCTACGGACATTTACCAACTTATTTTTCTCTACTAATTTTTACAAAATATTTTCAAACCTATTACCATGTTCACTTGGATGTGTTAAAAACTAATAGGTTTTCAACCTAATATCCAGCAGACATGTGTACTCATCACTTTTCAGAAAAGAAATATGCGCTGAAGACAAAAAGAAACTCTAAGAAAGGATAAGAGAGGGCTCTCCTACTACAACAAATTTCAATAAATATAAGTTGTCTCTTACTAGAAAGTACAACCCACAAAAGCATGGGTTGTCATATTTTCTAGGCGTACCATTTTTCTAAAATCAAAAGAACAACTGAAGAAAGGTACTGTCTCATGTTGTCCATATGAAGGGTCTTCAGGATTTGGTGATGGAGAAGCATGGCCTTCATGTATGTTAGTTGACTCAAGAGAAGACAAAAAAATGTATTTTTTTAAAGTGAATGATGTTTTGTGTGCAGTGATAATGAAGTTCATTTCTACAAGTAATAGACATATCTACAAAGCCTTAAAGGTTGAAGTTGAGAACTCAGAGGATGTTAAAGTGGTAATCTCACAAAGATACGAAAGAACTGTTGAAATGATCATTGGGTTTAGCATTGTAGACATGTTTAAAAAGTTTTATATTTCTAGGCTTAAGTTTCAAGTCAGATTAAAGAAAAAATTGATTGGGGAAATGGGTTGGGTCAACAGAATATATGCTGAAACATTTTCAAGAATTCAATGGTGTTAAAACCTGCAAATTGATATAGTGTTTCTCATCTTTCCTATGTACTTGTATTTCTTAATTTGCTGACGAGAGTCATCAGTGATGTTGTGTTTAGGTTTCGACAGAAAGACAATTAACCCTGAAAAGAAGATCTTTCCATTGATACTGATATTGATGAGTGCCACGATGCGGGTTGAAGAGTTCGTATCTGGGGAAAAAGTAAAAGCTTTGCTAATCTACCATGTATAATCCAGGTTCTAAGTTGACAATATCTAGTAATTACACATTTCCCAAAGAGAACAGATGTTTTGGACTACATTTGGGCAAGCATATAAAAAGATTTTGTCAATTCAGATGACCAAAAACTTAAATAGCAGCATCGTTGTTGTCTCTCAAGACTTTGACAGGGAGGAGATCGATGAAGCATTTAAGATGGATGGACAAACAGACAATGATCAATATGATCACCTCAAACCCTAAATAAATCCAATTGGCTATGCTCTGAAGCAAGAATCTACTATATTTTATTGAGTAGAAGAGAAACTTGAGAGACAAAGGTTCATCGTAATACCTGGTTTGTGTAGACAGACTTGAGCAAGAATATTTGATGAAATTGGCGATGAGAGGAGGGGCAATCCGCCTCTTGGCTCCTGTGGAAAATCAACTATAAATAAGATAAGTATGTAATACATGGGATGTGTAAGTAATACATGAAATTGATTAGGCTAAAAATTACCAAGAGTAGAGAATGGATTGAGCGGAACGAGTGAAATTGTAGAGATGGAAAGGCTGGTATGAAGATCAGCCACACCTTACACTCTGGGAAAGAAAAAAATGGCGACTCTAGGAAGAAGATGAATGCACCTGCGCGATGATGGCGCCCTTCAATGGGATACCTTCAATGACGAACAATGACTTAGACTTAGGGTTGAGGAACCGATGTGATTTGGAATTAGATTGAAAATTCACCTAGGTCACATACAATATTGAAAAGTCAAAATTGGAAATATACCATGGAGGGAAATAAAATTTTATAAATTATTACGAGTAAGATAAAGAAAGGGTAAAGATTTACATTTATATTTTTTTAAATATTGTTTTATGTTAATAAAATAAATAGATAAAGAAAATTTTCTAAATTATTTTAAAGGAAATTAAAAAAAAGAGAATTAAAACTAACAATGTAACTTTTGTAATAACAGTTGCAATTTTGAATAAGATTTAAAAGTTACAATTTTCAATAAACTTTGTAACTTTTAAAAAAAGTTGTAATTTTCAATCAAATTTGCAACATTTTAAAAAAAAGTTGCAATTTTTAATTAAATATGCAACTTTTTTAAACAAAGTTGCATTAAATCTTCTAGTGCAACCTTTTTGTTCGGCAAAACTGTATTTATAATCAAATGCAACTGTTGTGAAAATGTTGCATCTAAAAGGTCGCATTAGACTCATTTTATAGTAATAAAACCCCAACTTATATATAAAAATCTTAAAATATACATTTTTTTTAAACAACAAATCTAACATAGTTCTAATCTACTCCTTAAATTATACCGGACTTGAACCCTCAATCTTAAGGAAGAAGGGCAACCAAATAAGGCTGAGCTATAAGCCCTTTGTATGTATACAAGCAACATGAAAGAAGATTTTGCTGGATTGGAATTTGGAAATCAAGTGGTACGATACATAGAACAACCATCTAACCATCTAACTGCTTCTTCACCGTTTGTACGTACGTACTTAATAACCTCCATTAACAATACTTCAAGCTTTTTTTATTTATAAACTAAATTATCAATTTTCTTTTTTAAGTTTTATATACATGCCTCTCCTTATCAACAAAACGGATAGTGAAGTGGCCATCTTTTTATTATGAAACCAACACTATATAATTTATTTAGTGTCGTTTCTCATTTACATTGACAACATTATTCGTAAACTACTCTATCCCGAGAATTTGGGTATATGCTTTCATATCTTTCTTTAGTTAGATAATTAGCTTGATTCCAGATAAGGTTGGAGTTTTGTTTATATAAGATGACTCATTCGTTGAGAATCCCAATTAGAGCTCTTAGTTTGTTATCCTCCAAAATGAGGAATTTAGCAAAAATTCTCACTGTTTTGCTTCTCATCTTCTTCGTGTTCACTGCACCATCCACAGCCGATATCAAATCTGTGAAAATCCGATCTGATGACCGAGATCTGATAGTCTTCGAGGAGTTCACATTCACACATACAGGCAACGTCTCGGTTGCCATATCCTCCGTTTCAGTTTCCTCTATACAGGTCACCTCCAACTTATCACGACCTGATCTTTCACGTATTGGTTTCTTCCTTGTCTCGGACGATGCATTAGACTATATGTATTACTACGAAAGTGTTTCATGTTACCTGGATTCTAAATACATCGCACTTCTATTTACCTTCCAAGATATCTCCCCTCTTCCTCAGTCTTCTTTCAACAAATCATATGCTGTGACATATCCGAATTTATACTCACTCAGATTCGCCAACTGTAACCCTCTATCTCGAGCAACAATGGACGTCCGGACAGAGTTGTATAACATCCATAATGGCACTACCAAAGACTACTTATCAGCTGAACAAACGATGATCCCATCTATTTTCTTCACCTTCTCCATCATTTATCTGTGTTTTCTAGCGGTTTGGGTGTTGGTATGCATCATGAACTATCGATCAGCTCACTGGATTCATTTACTACTGGGTGAGTTGCTTGTTATGAAGGGGCTTAACTTGTTATGTGCAGCCATGGTCCAACATTCTATAAAGGTTACAGGTACTCCTCCTCTTGGATGGAATGTCTTCCTTTACGTATTTCAGTTTAACAGGAGTGTGCTTTTTTACACTTTAATTGCGGTGATCTTTGACGGATGTTCTTTCTTAAAGCGGGTTTTTCTAGCAAATAGGACTGTGATGTTTGTGATCCCACTTCAAGTTTTTGTTACTATAGCTTCTATAGCGGAAATGCAGGTTTTAGCTGAAGAATCATGGGATTGGGGATTAGGGTTGTATTTTGCTGACACCTTTTGTAGCATACTATTAAACGTGCTCATTGGATTTATGGTTTTCGAGACTGATAGGAATCTTGAGAATTATTTTGCAACGCTTAGTCTAATTCGGCCGTTTTATGTGGCGTTTATTGTATACTCGTGCATTGCCTGTGTTTTGGGAATCGGGAGCTTTGTAGATTACAGTTCCAGTTGGGTAATGGCTGTAGAGATAGCCAGTCTTATTTTCTATATTGTAATGTTTTTCTTCTTCAGGCCATTTGAGAAAAACAAATATTTTGATCAACTTAATCTTCAACCACAAGTGACGCCTGAGTTTGAGCTTTGAACCCTGAGAGATCTCAATTTCATATTCAAGTACTTTTTGTAACAGTTTCATTTTAATGTAATTTTTTTTTTCTTTAATTTGCCCTAACATGAACGCAAGTAATGATTGTGGGTTTAAAATTTGTTTTTGCTTTGTTAATTAATGTTGCTAGTTTAAAATCTTTCGAACTGTGGTTCTTCAAAATTGGATGTTGATCTGTTAATTGCGTTTCGTTTGTGTTGACACAGGTGCTATCAAGCATTTCGCCACAGAAAGTGATAGTTTAGCATTTTTTTTAATAAACAGCGTAAACAGATAATTTTCTGAAATTAGTGTGTTGAAATCAGTAAGAACATACACCGCTAGAAAATAGTGTGTTTTCCTATAGAAAATAGCAACCGAAAAATTCCGTAACTAATTAGCTACGGAATAACTACGTACCAGGTACAGAATAGAAAGTCCTAATATACTAACGGAGTAGCTACGAAATAGCTACGGAATAGCTACAACCGCTAATCCGTAGCTATTTCGTAGCTAATTAGCTACAAAATAACTACGGAAGAGTTACGGATGGCTATGGAATATCTACCGACTAGCGACGGAAGAAAATAGCTACAGAATAAATACGAAATACCAACGGATTTATAATTTCCATTATTATTATTATTACTCCCATTATTATTATTTTTCATTATTCAACTTTAAAATTTTTTATTTTGATCATTTTTCTTACAAATTTAAGACACGAACAATTAAAAATCATACTAATAATACTTTTATTAATAATATTTATAAACATCATAATAATATATAATGATCGTAACAAATGTGTAAACAAACGATTAAACGAAAAAAACTACGTTTAACAGATCAATAAGGTGAAATAATCTATATTTAATTTATAAATAATGAAAAATGTCTATAATAAAGGGAAATATGCATATTCGTATGTGTATGTATGTATTTATGTATTCATGTATGTATGTGTATGTAAGTACATATGTGTATGTGTGTGTATTTGAATGTGTATGTATATGTGTATGTTTATGTTTATCTATGTGTCTATGTGTCTACATGTATGTGTATCAAAAATCGCAAATATTAATAAGTATTACAGTATTAAACCATTAAACGAGAAAGAGATCCCGAAGGTGAACACAACTTTATGAACGATAAAAATAACTATAAGTTAAGTTCATCCCTCTTCTCATTCGACGTTGTCGTCGCCACCCGTCGCCACCCTGCTCGGTTTCTTCCCCGGCGCATCTATCCTCCTCTCTCTCGGCCCCTTTGCTCGATTTCTTCCCCAAAAAATTAAATCCCATAAAAGTGAAATAAAGAGATCTAAGAAACTACTAATCAAGTTAGAGGCTTGATTACCAGAAAATGATGAGGATGGAAGGAAGTCTCTGGATCTACTATCTCCTCCTTGAGTCCTCTAGCTTCTTCTTCTTCCACGAGCTTCAAGAACACAAAAAGATCACTCACAAATGGCTCACAAGCTCACAAATGCATTAGGGTTTCTGAAACTTGCGTTTGGGACTTGGAGGCTGGAAATGAGGCTAGCAAGTAGGGATTTTGATGCTTAAATAGGGTGCAAAACCCCGAAATTAGGGTTTCATCCTGGCAGCCCTACTCGTCGAGTCGAGGCTCTCAACTCGTCGAGTAGCTGACTTAAAATCCTGCGTCAAATCTGGTTCCTACTCGACGAGTTTGGGGCTCCCAACTCGTCGATTTGCTCTACAAAAGTGTATAAATTATAATTAAATGTGTACCAGGAACCAGGGGTTACAAAGCCTTTGACTCCTTTATACCATCCACTGATCCATTTAGGGAAATGGGTGTTACAACTTCATATGAATTTCGTTCTCAATGTTCTCTATATCGATGGATTCGTATTTACGAGTACTTTGATTCTTGTTTAAATTACTTTGGCTAAAAAGCAAATGAGTTCCTTTTCACTATTTATGACACACATAGTTATGTTGGAATGAACGCGAAACTTAGAAAAATCATAACTTCCTCATACGAAGTCAGATTTAAGCCTTTTTTATACTGACATAATTTTCATCATGTCGAATACGACTTTCATCAAAACTATTTATCCTAAATAATCTTTTAATTTTAGATGCATATTTATTGTAATTCGTTAAATGTTTTATACAAGTGTTAAAAGCTTATAATACTTGCCCATAAAACATGTACACAATATATAAATATTATTTATATAAATCATAGCGTGCATGAATTATTCTTATTAATCTACGAATATCTTATTCAAGGTTTTAATTATTTAATAAAATGAATAATTTATAACTAAATTCTATCAAAATGTCCAACCCTAACTTACGGGCGTTACATATGCAAAATCTTTTGTTTTCCTTGTTTAAGGCTAAGGATCTTGAAGTAATGGTTCAAAACTCGTGCTTCCGGAAAATATTTTTCTAGGAATAGTTCCGCGAGCTCATTCATTATAGAGCCAGAGGGAAGATCATATAGCCATTCCTTCACCAAATCTTAGAATGAAAAGGGAAATGTCGTTAGATTTATCTAGAATTTCATGGAGCTATGCGACTTCATTCTTGAACAGACAACATGAAATTCCATCAGGAATTTATATGGATCTTCGTTTTCGAGGCATCCAAATGTCGGAAGGAGGTGTATTAACCGAAATTTAAGTCGAAACTTTGGGCAGTAGGAAAAGTGATTTAAAAATGTTGTTGAGTAACCTTTTGCGTAGCCCACTGTCTTAGAGTCCTTTCTCCCATGGTTGTGGTGGGTGATTCGGGGTCAGAATCGGAAGATTCAGTGTTTTTGGATTTGACTTAAGATGATGAGTATGATTTTTGTAGACTTTAAATGGGTGACGATGGTGGTTCTTTTTGGAAGGATGTGAAACTGGGCTTAGGTTCATTCCACAAAGGACTGCCTTGTAGTGTAGTTAGTTTTGTTGGTAAGGAGGATGATGGATTTGCGGAAGCCATTTGTTGGTTCTGAAGGTTTGTTGTCTTCTTTAGCTTTCTTGCGATTTTCTCAAAGATCGAAGACTAAGTTACCTGTACGTAAAGATTTGGGCATAAAAACTATTAGGAATTTTGTGTCCCTCATAGCGATGCCAATTTGTTAAAAGCATCGTTAATGCATCAACAGTTAAAAATCACTACTTGGTTGCACTAATAGGTAACACAAGGAAGCAGTGTCGAATCCACAGGGATACTGCCTAAAAGTCAATGTCTCTTTGTGTACAACTCATACTAGTCATATAACATAAAATTTAAAAAGGAGGTTTTTGGTTTAGAATTAAAACTAGAAATAGAAATGAAAAATAAAACTTAACAAAATTCAATAATAAATAGCTTTCAGGTCAGCTGCGACTCTCCTAATTATGCAATCAATCTATATCCTATTATTTAAGATGCATTATATCTAAATTGGTGTTGAAAAGTACAAACAACCTCTAGTATATTCGCTTTTACCTAGTTACTTAACTAAAACAAGTTCTTGAGTTAACCCTAATTTTTTACTAACTAAATTAAATAATCTCTTAATCAAATTAGGAAAGCAGTATTATAATATGTGTCAAATTTCCATCAATATTCAATACTCCTCATAAGCTTGGAAGCATGAAAATATGTGATTTTATGTTTATAACATAATCAAATCCCAACACGGAACCGATCTGTTATTTCAATTAAGGATTTCAATAATTGATTAACTTGATTGACTTAATCATAAATTAGCCATTAGGTGATCAAGCTAAAAAGAATTAAAAATCAAACATTTATGAAACACAAATCTGAAACCACTAGATAGGATTACAAATTAAACACCAAATCTTAGATTAACAACATAAAAGTGAAGTCTTTTGCAGAACTGGAAACTAGGGTTTTTTGCCAAACATGACTAAAAACAATTTAAAACTAATAAAAAGAAAGACTGAACAGTTGAATCTTTCAAAATTAATGGAATTAGTCAATCCATAATCTTTAGATCTTCATAAATCAATGGAAAAGGGAATAAACTGCCAAAAAAATCGTCTGAAAGGGTTTCTAGAATTCTCTCCGGAATTTGGCAACGACATGGGTTATTTATATGTAAGACAACAGCTTCAAACGATAAATCTTGAAAAACATGTCATGGACGCGTCACGTCCTCCTTTAAAATTTGCCATAGTTCGCGGTTAATGAAGTACGTTACTATTTTGGATATTTTCACCAAAAACACGATCTTATTACATACATAAAATAAGGTACAAAATACTAATAATGCATGCACAAATTCATAAAATAAGGTACAAAATACTAAAAAAACTAGTATAAAAGATGCATAAAATGGCATCTAACAACTCTCTTATTAAAGAAGATAATGTTAATCCATAATTTTAAAATTGTTGATTTTGTTTTATTTTTTTTGAAAACAAAATTTTATTTTTATATTTAACCTAAAACAATAATTTCGAAATGAAATTAATCACCACCCACCGCATTGAGCATGTATCCCATTATTTTGTTATTTTATGATTACATTTTTGTTATTTTGAACAATATTTGTTTGATATTTAAAATATTATTATTCATAATTTCAGACACATCCTATTAATAAATCTCATTTTGGAAATCTTTAATGTTCATTCATTCCTATTTAATTTGTCACTCATACAGTACACGAATTATAAAGTAGTATTAACACAAGGCACCAATATGCCCCTTAAAAGTATGGTGATATGTCCTTCCTCTATGAGGTTGATGATTCAAGTCTAGTTTAGGACATAGGTGTAATTCAAAAGTAGCTTATGAGTAGATTGGATGTATGTGTGTGGTTGTTTTAAAAGAATAATTAATAAAAGATGTATTTTTAGAACATATTTTATATGTATGAGACAAAATGACCATAATTTCTCAAATTTCACTAGAGATATATATATATAAGTTGTAAGTTCCCCTAATACATGGGTGGGGCGAATGTATGTGTAGTTGTCCGTTTGATTTACGTGTATAGATAAGGATTTTATAAATTTATTA